TTAAATACAAACCTTTGATCATATGTAAAAAGCTTAGATATACTATTTATATGAAGTGTTAATTAATGAATATTTATATATATTGGAAAATCGGTACGGTACATGTTACATTTAAGATACCTCCATTATTTTCCTTGTTGACGTTTATATCCCCGTTATTAGTAAAGAGTACTGAAGAGAAGCTGCCGGTGTCAGGAGCTTGACTAAATGAGATCGCCGGCTTTATTGAAAAGTCTCGAGCTATAAAAAATAATATATTTTACTTATATATACAGCTGTACAGGTAATGTTCTAAAAATATTATAGTAAATAATGAATTTAAAATAGATGTGATGTACCATTTGATAAGTCACTTAAATGATTGCAAGAAGAATCATTTTTTCGGTCCCGACTTGATGTACAGATTCTCTTTATGCTTCCCGAGTCGTGGAATTTTATTATTGACATAAAAAGAATAAATGTCAATATTTATTCTATTATTGACATAAAAAGAATAAACGTAAACTATTATGTATACAAAGATTAAAAATATTTAAAAATGTGCAATTTTTGGTAAAATTATTTCTAAGAAACAATATACACGTTGCAATTTTTCTCGCGTTTATATAAAAAGAATAAATGTAAAGCATTATGTACAATGTAAACTATTATGTATTCAAAGATTAATCATACATTGCAATTATATAATGTAATGAAGTAGAAAAAATATACTCCCTCTGTCCCAAAAAAATTTACATGTTTCAAAAAATGCATATTAAATATTTTTCCCAATTATATTAAAAACCACTTTTATCCCTTACCTTTATAAACTCTACCTATCATATCGTATTTTTTTCCTAATAATCTACACATCACATACTACATTTACTCATTACATCAAGGATATTTTTTGAAAGTGAATACAAAATTATCCTTTTCTTATTTCAACTTTAGTCATAACGTGGAAATCTTTGTGAGACGGAGGTAGTATTAAATATATATTCGTTACTAAATATGTATAAAAATTTTACAATTTTTTTTAATCGCACGAGATTTGTTTAAAAGACCAAATTATTTCACAATTAAGGTTAACTGAATAATTTAATTACTATATACAAATATCACACTTATTTGAATATCATACACACACACACATACATACATACATACATACATATATATATATATATATATATATATATATATATATATATATATATATATATCTGTGTGTGTGTGGTCTAGTAAACTTAATTTATACTCACTTCGTCCTAAAATTAATTTCCCATTTTGATTTTAGCATTTAAAGTTTTTAAACCTTGATGATATATTACGAAAAAATATATTGAATTTTTATAATAATTTAGTATCAACAAATTCAATTTGAATCATAGTTTTAAAATATATTACATTCATGAAAATAAAACTAATATATTAAATAAATGGAGATATTAATGATCAAAGTGCCATATAGCAGACCGTAAAGAGTTAAATAAGAACTTAATTTTAGGACTGAGGGGGTAAAACATTGTCAAAATATGTTTGATTTTAGTTACTAAACAATAGCGCCATAAATGTCTAGCTGCCCAAAAGAGTCCAGCAGTCCGGGTGATTCCACTTCCGGACCAAATGCTGCTCGTCAATCGGCCCAGAAAATCAGCCCATTCATTTTAAAATATAAACCACACACCCAACCCTACATATCATTTGCTTCTTCCGCCGCATTTTCTTCGTCTTCTTCTCGCGTCGTTACTTCTTCCTTGTCGCGCGACGCACCCCTCTCTATCTTCTAATCCATATTAT